ATTGTGTACCACATTTTCTTCATCCATTCATCCACTGACAATCATTAAGGCAGTTTCCAATTTCTGGTTTTTATGACTAGACTTGCAATGTATATGGATAAGCAACTATCTCTGTAGTAGGATATAGTATCTTTTAGGTATTCCTAAGGGTTGTATAGCTGGATCTTGATGCACATCTAGTCCCAACTTCCAGAGGAACCACCATACTGATTTTCATAATAGCTGTATAAATTTGTACTCTAGAAACAGTGGATGAGCTTTACTCTAAATCCTAGCCAGTATGAGATGTCAGGTCTGGATCCTGGACATATTATGCCTTTCAATTTATCCTAGTTAGGTACAAGAGATAACCAACTTACAATGAAACGATAAACACAACTCACTGAATTAAGTGGGCAGTACCACACACTTCTTATTTGTAGACACTGTAAAATAAAATAAGTGTGCTTGAAGCAAGCATAGCAGTAATGTTATAGCATGTGTGATAATAAGAAGACTGCCAGATAACTGAAGTGAAAATACTTTATACATTACTGATATTTGGTTTAATGATTAAACCAATGAGAATTCCATATCTCGTAAAAGTATACAGCCAAAACTTGTGACATTTATGTAATCACACAAAAATGTTAACCAAATCAGTACTCAATGTTTTGGATAAACATTGGTCAAACTGAAGAAAGTTTTTTCTTCTTTGTTTTTTAAGTATAAGAATGAGTCTGAATGAGTTGTAATATAACATGTGGAAAAATGAATTTAAGACATTCCATTGAGACTCAAACTTCTTCCAGCTCCCTTTGGCCATTAACAGTATCACAAAACCTTGGGATATTACATTTAAAATATTGCACATTATACTTCATACATTAGTCATCTTTCTTCTATTTGTACCAAATTTGGAGTTAACTTTTACCTTTCTTATTAAACAGGATTTAAAAACAATACTGGGTATATCACAGGATCTCTTTGGAAGGCAGGTAGCCAAACTTGGAACAGATGAGCCCAGGGGCACAAAATGACTCAGTACAGTTCACAATACTGCCATAGTGGGCTCAGATAACACTCTCTCACTCTCTCTCTCTCTCTCTCTCTCTCTCTCTCTCTCTCTCTCTCTCTC